TTAAGAGTAACATGATTATTGATATTTTATCACAAAGTATACCATAAAAAGAACCTTATTTAACTTCTGTCTAATGCTATAATGAATGGAGTATAGCACTATACTAATACTCTATATGTGCCTTTAAAATATTTTTACAATATGAAATCAGAAATGAATTAATTCAAAAAAAATTAAATCATTAAATAAAATTATTAGCCCCAAAATGTATATTCGTTTTTTTTTTCCTTTTGTTCGGTAACAAATTACATATTTCGCGCGCATAAATTTTGAATTGACGAATCGCTAATTTATGCAGTGTAGGACGTCTCAGCGGGAACACTCGCGATTACGGTAGGGTGACCATGTTTTGATTAATAATATTTAGACGTTATACTTTGTCTGCGAAATATTGTTTTAATAGCACTAAATATAATATAATAAGATTTAAATCGCTCTAATCGCAGGATAGTAGCTATATCACCTATTTTAGCAGTGGGAAGGGAACCTAATTGTCAAAATGTTACTCATTGCACTAGATCACACACGAAAGTTGTATTATGCGCGGTAGCAAATTTTTGAGTCTCAATCGAGATGCGGGGTGAGATGCAGCGCCTAACCATAGCAACGTAGAAGTCTATGACTGTATCTGCAAGGAAAAATACCTTTTTGACTTATGTATCGCACATTATACTTACTACATAACAGAATGAAACAACTATCCGCTCTTATGCTTCATTTGCTTTAGCCGTTTTTGTTCTTATGATTATTCGATAACATAGTCACCCTACATATTTAATGTTCCCGCCAAAAGCGAAAGTTGCCATAACGAGGTGCTCCCGCGCATAAACTACGGATAATATGCGAGATTAACATTTTAACGGCCTCGTCGATCGGACGTGATAACACGTTCGGAAAACGATAAAGCGATTTACAGTTTTATGGTAAAAATTGTAAATTGTATATGGTTTTCGAACATTCTTAAGTTTTCAGCGCATTTGTTAGGCGACCATATCCTGAAGCTATATTTTATATAGTATAATAAAATGTCGTACAATTTTATTTACTGTCAACTTAAAAAAAAAAACTACTTGCTAATTACACTTTTTCAACCAGTAACACCAGAAAATCTAAACTCTTCAATAGACATAAAAAAAAAATATTTTTTTAAAAGAACAGTTAGTAATATGTTTAAATATGTACATATATAAAATTTATCTTAACAAGTATACGTTTGACATGATATTAGACGATTTTCAAATTTCTTTATATATATCTTTTTCACATCAAGAGCACAGGCGCATCGATAGCAGATTATAGACCTAACTAACAAAAACAAAATGAGGGATTTTTAAATCCTTAAAATATGTGTGTATGTTTGCCACTCTTTCGCGAAAAAAAATTCTAGACCGATTTTAATGAATACCATATGTATCTAACAAAAAAAATGTTACAAAGCTACGAAAATTATCAAAATAATTAAATAAGTTTTATTTTAATTCGAAACCAAACTCAATATCTCATTATCCAATATAATATAAATATTCACAAAATAAAACGTGCTGTAGATGATTCGTAATGAATCGCAATACAATAAATAAAACGGTTAAATTTCTTACTCTAATCAAATTTATTAATTTATTTATTTCATTATTTACTCTCTGTATTTATAAATACAGAGCTATAAGATATAAACTTACAATAAACTTTATTATTTTCAAGCAATAATCTTTCATCAGCTTACAGTGTACATAACTGCAGCATTCTTTAATGCAACGTTGCTCAAACTTTAACTGCCCCGCCCCTCGGCGATACGGCCACCCCTGCTCGTTGACTTAATCACTAAATTACTGAATCGATTTATGTAAAACACGAAACAGTGCCTGTTTGTGTATGCAACTTGATAAAAAGTTTCAATATTAAGGAGGCATAGCATGAAATCTACGAGTAGGTATTCAATGTTATTCTCATTATAACTTCGTGTTATTACGTTATATTTTAGATTTGATTCTATTTCGATAATTGACATGTGTCGCCTTTATAAATATATTGAATTAAAAATTAAACTTAATTAAATTGCGACTATTGAAATGAGATTTTTACGTGAACAATAGCAAAATAGGCTAGCTGGTACATAAAATCTTACAATAGAATCATCTTCCATGAATAAAAATCGGTCGAAATGTTTTAAGACTTGTTATAAGTGAAAATACAGATGTTTGTTATATGTACGGAAAATGTGAACCATTTTAACTCATAAATATTAACGAAATAAATTTTATGATACTACTTTGGAAAATATTTAACTTTAAAAACTCGAAAAAAGTAGGGAAAATATGCTACACTTCTACAAAGTTTGCAAAAATACAAATGGCATTAAATTGGTTTCATAAAACGTTACAACTTTTATTATAAGAGCTATAAACATAAATGCACAAATAAAAAAGATATTACAAGATTGCGCAGACGCCCATACGTTTTTCGCTGTCGTTGCACTGTGTGATGTCACTTAGTGCCTTGAATTTGTAGAGAGCGTTTTCGGCCGACTATCAGCAGTTCCACAAACATAGCGCCGTATCTCCGAAACTATTAATCGCAGATATGCTGTTACTTTATTTCTCAGATGTTAATGGACTATTTATTTATAAAATAAAAAAATGTCAACTAAACTATTCTACGAAACACTCTTACAGTAGCTTCTGTGAAGCACCAATGGCAACACCTGTAATGCAATTTATATGATTGAATATATTAAAGCGTCCTTATATCACTCACACCAAAAATTAGGAATATCAATGTGTATAAAAAGTGCATTGGCTAAATACACGGATCAATGGTTAAAGTACTTTCGAAGAGACGTGAGATTTAAAATTTTTACTTACCTATTTGGTTTGCTAAGCAGAAGTTTAAACCAAATATTTATTGTCTCGACCTCCTCCGTGCTTCGGAAGGCATGCAAATCAATAGGCTAGTGATGATGAGTGTGATAATGATGATTTATGAAATTGCTTTCAAAGTCAACAAAGAGAGCCTGAGATTATTTCACATGAAATATAGATACGCCTTAAGGAATTCTTATTGGAAACATTTCAGAGCCGGTTTGCAAAGCGCCACCGCTTGATTGGATGATTGACGTCGTATAAGACGAGAAAAAAAATTACCGCAGACTATGCAATTATCAGTTATCGTGATTGTAAACAAAATTATAAGGCATAAAATATTTACACCGGTTCTGTGTTATGACAGGTTTGCGCTTGCTATAATTTTGTTATTTCATCAATTTTGCCTTTCACAATGTCGGGGCTACGGTTTCGAAACGAGTCTAAAGTTTGAGAACAACATAAATTATCTAATTGTGAATTTGCTCATTTATTATCGTAGATAGCAATGTAAACTATGGTATTAGTATATAACAGCGGAATTTATTTTATCACACATAATTTTTATTGAATAATATTATAATGAGGAAAATTTTGATTGTTTGTTTGTATCCAAAACTAAAAACCGATTATAAAAATTATTTCACTTAATAGAAGCTGCCTCATGCACCGGTATATAGTCTATATAATTCACACGGGCGAAGTCGCAGGAAAACAGATTACACTCTACGAAAATAAGTTTATTAACACTTATGAGGTAACTACACAACACTATGCCATCTTACCACAGAATTTTGATAAATGAAGTATTATATTCAATAAGGAAATGTTTCAAAAAATCTACTCAAATAAAAGTCCTTAGATAAGAATATTACATTCGACACTTTACTGACAAATCCTGACCACAAACGATGATAAAATAGTAATATGTATTTATACACTTCATGTTGTCATTCTTGTAAAACTAATGAAATCAACATTGTTATTTTAAATATATCAATTGTAGTAGCAACATCTAGTTATTTCTTTTTTACTTATCCTTAACCTTCCAGTACCAGACTTTTTGGTATTCAAACAAAAGTGAAACTTAATTGAATATGCAAAGTGGACAAAGTAAAGCTAATACCATACCTGTACCAAACAAGTATGCAAGTTAGGAATAAACGGACAATCGTTTATCATCCACAATAATAAAATCGATAAAATTAGCTTCAATGCGATTAATATTAATTGGTTTCCTAGAAGCATAGTCTGTCGTCCTTTATGAAGCCATTAAATTGATCTATTGTAACACAAATAATTAATTCTCAGTCAAGTTTTTGAAGGTTAGCCTTTCTTGCTTTTGTATCTTCAAGTACAGATAAACATTTTCTAGAATTTATTTAATTGTATTTACTGTCCCTTGAAAATTCCAAACTGACACGTTTATTACCTCGGCATTTCCAATTCGATACAATTGAATAAAAGTCACAACACACTTCATGATTCCACTCACTTGATTACTGCGGCTATTAAAATTATCGCCCAGCTGTTAAACCAACTTTTCTTTAACAACCCGTGTTTTTTTACTTAGTGTGAGTAAAATTTTGTAAGTTTGACCCCAATTCCGGGTTATCAATCAAGCTGAAATTTCATATGCCTATCCTGGATGACAATGCAATATTTATATTAAATCAAGCATATCAAGTGATGGAATCGGAAAGTAGCCTTAATTAAACGAAGCAACTTCAGCGAGTCAAGGCTCGTTTTATTGGCCTTGACACTGACTTTTGTTGGAAATAATATCCAAGGACTGATGGTTGAACTGAAACGTGGCCACGAGAAATAATGAACAGAATACCGCTACGTTGGGGTTCAATTGTCTAAAATATTTTTTAGTAGTTGCATGTTACCATCAATAAACAAAATAACCTTAAATAATATACCGCTTCTGTTTCCTTCAAAATAAATGCTTATTAACTGATACTTTCATTTTAAAATTACTACCCCCATAAATTACCTAACAATCATTATTCAAGTTAACTAAGTATAATATTTATTTTTGTTCTGAAAATTATTAAAATTGAAAACTTACTTTATTAAATGGCTGTCGAATGAGATGCATTTATGTTACTGATATCCGATTTATGTTTTTTATTTCAGGTTTGTAAACCGAACATAGACTGCAGCTTAACGGAAAATCGATGGCGTTATATTGAAGTTTTCGAATGCTTGGGTGATGATCCCAAGTTACTAAAAGCGATGCGACTTTCATTCCCCAGCGGACACTCCTCTTTCTCAGCTTACACTATGATATATTTCGCGGTAAGTTCAAGTATCAATAACTACTATAGAATTAATTATTGATCTCCTGACTCTTTATATATGGATACTTCGAATGACGATGAATTTATTAACTTTCAGTTGTATATCCAGAAAAGATTTACGTGGAAAGGTTCAAAACTATTCAAGCACACTATACAGTTGGTCCTATTATTGATGGCTTGGTATACGGTCATGACCAGAGTATCAGACTATAAACACCACTGGAGTGACGTTCTCGCTGGTTTCAGCATTGGAATGATATTTGCTATTGTTGTAGTGAGTATTCAATAAACCTCTGAAGTTTTAAGTTTGAGCTTTATTCTAGTTGGTGATCTTCTTTTTTATGTTTTGTTTGCTAATATTCATTCTTTAAACATTGGAATTGATAGTGATTTTTTTATTTATATTATCATCAATTTCTTTTCTCTTTATAGTTTTTATTCGTCTCTAATATCCGGAAAACGACTAGAACACGACAGACCCTCAATCACATTGAAGCAGAGATGCACGCTACCAACGGCAACACGAGATCGGCAACCCGAGTGCAAGTGTGACAACCAACACCCACCAGCTCCCAAACGGTCAGTGATGAGGAGTCATGACCCAAATCACCCAATGTCACTATATCGTGGATATCACACGAATATATAGACAAATAAGAGTGGACAAAGATTGTGCCTCATAACTAAATTGATATCAAAGTATCAAGTATAGAATTGCAAATCTGTACAATGCATTTTGGACTCAATAACACCCTAAAGGGGCAGTTATATAAAAGTGAATTTAACGTATGTTTAAGTTGGTGTGTGACTTGAGGAATCTCGGCAAAAAAATCGAATGTAACTGTTGGAATTTCGTTGTGAATAATTCTAGATAGACATACTATGAATAAGGTTAGTTTAAAAGAAATTACACGATGTTATTATATGTCGGTGTTGTAGACGATCTACTCATTCGATATGTTACTGAATAGTGCAATTTAACGTAAAAATGGTGTAGTTATCAGTGAATCGTTAGCTTTATGAGAATACAGTCGGGTATTAGTAGTATTATTACTAACATACAGCAGCGTTCCTAGTACAACAACAGTAACAGAACATTGCAAGTTTTTAAATGTATATACTTAAAAAAAAAATTAAAGCGAATATATTAAAACTGCATAATAAAGCAATTATTTTTAAGTAAATGTACAATTAGATATTTATATTTGTAAAGATATTTCATATACTATGATAATTGTTTTAGATTTTCACATATCTGATTGTGCTCGTCTCAATTTTTTCTTTACCTTAATTATTCTACTATTCTCACTATTTTTTCAATGTTTTATATACAGAATATAGTACAATTATTGAAGTTGCTATGATGTTGGATTATTTTATTATTAAAAGCATTTAAGACTTCTTTTGTAAAATGAAAAGTCTGCTGAGCCGATTTATTTAAATTATATATATATAAACTCTTTCGGCGTCTGGGAGACTAAGGAAGAATGTATTTTATATACTGTGATATAGAGTTGTAACATAGAAAAAAAAAACATTTACCACATCTTCATGAACTTCCCAAGTTTATAATTCGAGAATAGAACAATATGGATTCTGAAACCAGTTATTTGTTACTTTTAAATGTGCTTTATGTAACCAGTAAAATCTTGAATTATAAACTTTTAGTTGATAATTATAATAGTTATATTATACATTTTATAGGTGCTAGATAAGTGTAACTTATATTTTAAATTTAACTATTTATAAGTGACACTAATAGTGTGTTGTTTTTAAAAAAGAAACTTTATTGTTTGATGTGAATATGTATGTTTTTATGATATTTGACAAAGTATGCGATATTATTGGCTTGTTCAGAGGAAGAAGCCGCCAAAATGGTTTTTATTAAGAATTGTGTTATTTAAAAGGTAGCATAGAGGCAGCATGTTTTATCAATAATCGTCTATTGTTAAAATTAAAAGTCTAAATAACGTTATAACGTTGTCAATGGACATTGAAAATTTGTGTATAGTAAAAAGTATATAAAATTTGTAGGTAAATTGAAGTAAGTCTTGCATTTGGAATATTTGTATTTTCGTGGGTAAAAAAATATCACTTGTACAAATTAGTGTATTTATACATTACAGACCTCATCAAATAGGTTTGATATAAACTTAATGTTTATTTTACATTTGATACTCTATTGCTCAGACATAGGGATGATTTTGGTATAATAAACAATTTCTGTCACTGATGCTACTTAAATATGCTTGTAATACTGAAAGTAATTAATTATACAGTAAATCGTAAGGCCTCTCAATGTGTACACATATAGAGGTAAAGCGGAATAAAGCGCCACAATGATTATAAATTAATTTTTATAAAACATTGCGATTATAAATCACTTGTGTCAGTAACTAGTTGCAAAGTCATTCAAATTCATCAGTGTTTATTATTTGCCAGAAGAATAAGAACATTGAATTTTGAGGTAACATTGCATTTATCATAAATAACTTTGAAAAAGAATATTATAATATTTCAGCTTTGTATTAACATTCAGAAACATTATTATTATAATGTATCTTACTTTTAATTACAGTTCATTTGTATTTTTTTTTTGGTCACTGTAGGATGTATAACTACAATTTTGTGTTATATGCAAACAGTATACTAGAATATGAGTTAGGGCACTAATTTATTCTATTTTATACTTTATTGTTATTAAAAAAAAGAGTTATCATAAATTTTAATTGTACGTTCGGTCATCTTCGGAATTGATAGGTCTACTCTTTGTCATATTCATTTGTACTTAGTGCACATGTCTGAATGCTATTAAGGAAGTTCATTTTAGATGTAACCAAATATGGAATAGTAAAACCTAAAATGCAATACTGCAATTACTTTGTAAATTATTCATTACAGAAATTTTGTTTCACTTTGAAATAAGCAAAACAAAGCCGAAAACCGAACGTGAATTGCTTAGACTTATTTAATGACAATTTACAAATATTCTTCTATAAGAAATAAGAACAAATTTCAATTTCAACATTATTCGATTACTTATCTCCGTTGTAGACTCTATCTTTCTTTCTCTAACATCTTTTGTTAGAAAAAGAAAGATTGAGCGCCAATGAAGGCAGAACAAAACCACAAACAAGACGGAACTTAAGATGATAAATTAATTCATTCACATATTACAGAAATAGTTTCCTAATATTAGTTGACTTACATTGCGATGCACTGCCTTTTTAGTAATTATTTAGCAACTATTTATATTATTACATTTACACTATTTATGTTAAAGTTAAACTAGTTACAAGTAATGAAGCATAATAAACACATGATCTGATTTAAAGCTTTTTTATTACTATCCTAATATTAGTTAGATAGTAACTAATTATTAATTACCAACTAGTAGTTTATTCGTAGTTAGAAAAGCGTAAACTATTTTATTAGTTTCTCTATTTCGTAATTGCAAATAAAAGTCTAATTTAAACATAGTTGAAACTAATATTTTGGATCAAATGCGTTACTTTGATTTTTATTTAAAAGACCTGAAAAAATAAACGCTTTAAAAACTTCCTGTATCATATACATAAAATATGTGAGAAAAAGAGTGATATTTAATTAGTAACGGATAATTAAATAAGTATTGTTTTTTTAAACACATTTTAGTATTTGAAATATTCGAGTGCTGCTACCTTTAATTATTTTTACTTTTGCCAACGGTGTTAGAATAATTGTAGACACGTTTCAATTTTTAAAATACATGCCATCTTACAATCATCTATTAAACTAAACTCAATTCTCTTTAACTATGCTATTTCACATCCAGCGTGATATTACAAGTTGCCCACAGATGGAGTCAGTATCGTTATACTCAAGGTGAATGCATTCATTGCGGCAGCAAATTCTCAGGTCACAAGAACCCGACAACCATTTGCCAAACCGCTCTCTATCTTATCAAATGCGAAAGAAAAGGATGAACACAACCCAGGTGTCAGTGACAAAAACAGTATCAGTCAGATGCTGTCATTGCTTAGCCGTGATTAACGGAAATTCGCGCCGTGATATTGAAACTAATTCACGTTTTTGCTACATCGCGTCCACATTATGCTGATTCATACAAAAGCCTCCATAAACATTAATATATGATAACGTATCTAGGGATTATCGCTATTAATCTACGTGCTTATGAGTTATTCATGCTGACTACCCACTAGTTTGGACCTATATAATTTTAATGTTGACAGTGTCGGAGTTGCAGATGTTTTCGCAGTTTGTGTATAATTATTAATATTTATGTTATTTTTGTTTGAACTATGATAGTGTTTTAATTACAATGGCGGTTGATAAAGTTGTTTGGAAAATTGTGTTGGACTTCCTTATTCTGGCGTGTGGTGAGTTAAATTTTTCGGTGAACCGGGTTCTTTATCAATTTAAGCTTAATATCGGAACTGTGGCCTATTTGTCTAATTTCAAAATCCATTGCAATCTATCTTTCATAGATATAGCGCTTATGATAGTGATTTATGCAATGATGTTACACTTAAAGTTGCAATCCGATTCGGAATGAATGTTAAATTGATTTATTAAAAAACGTAAACTTAGTAATATTTGCGTGTAACGCTTGCCTTATACAAATTAACGATATCGTTCAATATCTTTAAAAAACTTCGCTATCGCAATCTTTATCATATGTCAAATAGTTGTATCTTTCCGATGTCAAATTAAAAGGGTTTTAGTTAGATTTTAAAATGAAACAAGCCCATGCAAATGAATAAATACTCATTAATGAAATAAGAAAAACCCTGTACAAATTAGATTAAGTATGTTTACATATAACATTTACTATTATTTATTAGATCAGTCGTCCGGATTATGAAAGGTCGTGGGTTCGAATCCCATATCAGAGTACCAGGGACAGTGTAGATTTTAAGGCATTTTTCATTTAAAATATTTCCCAGTATAGCATTGTGAATGAATGTGAACAAATTTTAATATTAGACCCAATAAAAAATGTGCAAATTAATTACATTTTTACTGGCATTTTTACTAACTGGGAAATTTCGAATACAAAAACTGATGAATTAAATTAAAATTCAGTACGTAATTGTAATATGAACTTTATAAAAATGTAATTGGAAATTCACATTAATGTTAACAAAACGCATTGTAGAATAGCTACGATTCTTATGACAATCTTCTAAAAAAAAAAAAATAGAATGCTACTAAAGGTTATTAGGGTAAGCCTGTCTAATATGATATATAAAATATAAGGTACGTCTATTAGAGCAAATACCCGAATTGCTCATGTTTGCGTATTCGAATCCCGTCTCGGGCAGCTGAGACTGGAGTTTTTAATATTTTTATAGATAAACTAGATGACCCGGTGTACTTCGTATCACCTCTCACCGTTTAAACCTTCCCTGGACAAGGCAAACCTTTCCAAACAGCTGGTCAAAACAAACGAACAGCAATTTATTTTTATAATATACTAGCTGTTTTCCCACGACTGTGCACTCGTAAATTATAGCCTATGTCAACCGCGTATGATGAAGCTACCTATGGGTGAAAGAAACTATTTACTGAAAAAATTAAATAAAATGTTATAGGCTGTTACTTTTTTTGCGATTTTGAATTTGGAATGTTTCCTTTAATTTATTTGTAAATTAATTTGTTTATATTTTCTCGTGATGGAGGGAACGAAACAAGTACTTGCAATTATCATTTCCCTTTTTGAGGCGGGAAAAAAACCTATGCAGATTTTCCGCGAGCTGAAAAGTTTTATTTCGTCTCAAAACTTATAAACACACGAGGTACAAACAAACAATCAAATCTTTCCTCTTTATAATATTAGTAAAGAAGATACATCAAATTAATAAATAGCTGTTTTTGGTCAAAACAGACCTATATAAAATCGATGTAGCTGAAGAAGATACGAATCCTGCTTTATATTTCATAATCGTCAACCTACTATCCTCACTGTTAGAGCATAGACTTTACCTTTGAATGGAATTAAATAGGGAGACACACCCAATGCGGATGGATGGACGGGTGTTAACGATTGCAGACGGGACCGACGGCACAAAATAAGGGGAGTCCGGGAGACTTGCCCAGATGGGAGAGTTGAACCACTTCTCAAAATTCAACGTAAATTGCAAGCTAATGAAACATTAACACAGTCGTAGATCATGTATGGAAGACCAATAATGTATGTGTCACTATTGCACAAAATGCCTGGTTTGTTTAGCTTTTAAGTTGCGAAAAGTGTTTTGGTCACTACAAAATAAATTTTAAATAATTAGTAGTTTTGAGATACTGGCCGTGTTTATCGATGTAAGTATTGTGTATTATTTTTATCGTGTTTGCTGATTATTCTAGTTTGAAGTATGTTAATTTTTTTTTTAACAGTAAATGAATACCTTTTTTACAATGTCAATTTTTTGTCGAAGTGATGTATGCGGGAGAGTTGAACCACTGTTCTTGTTGAAGACAACAGTGGTTAATTATACCATCTGTGGTGATGATCCTTCTGCCATGATACTACTTGCACTCAATTCAATATTATAAATGTTAATAAAACAAGTGAACAGAAGGCAAATAACATTTAGAATAGTTTTTATAATTTTTGAGAATAACGATAAGTATCAATTCCAAATAATAAATATATGAAAGCAAAACTACGCAAAAGACTCTAATAGAAAGATGATACTAAAAAAATAAACAGAAATTACTAAAACCCCTGATAATGACTTTCCTCAGACTTTTGATCATATGTCCCTCAAAGTGGGAGAGTTGATCCATTTCCCATTTTTACTTCAAATCGGCTTAGCAACTTCAGTATTGAAATATTTAAAAAGTAATGATGCAAAAACAAGACTATATAAATTACACATGAATTAAAATTATAATCTAGTCTCTATGACAAATCTATACGAAGATATTATAATTCAAGTAAAAAGAGTTTCAAGTCTCCCGGACTTTACTTTCCGAATCACGGGGGAGCTGCTTATGTTAAATTATGAGTAACATTCTGATTACCCATAATTAAACATAAGCAACTTCTGCAATGGCTGGTGGGATGACTAAAAATGTATCGTGTCGAGCTGCTTCGTGTTTTGGAAGGAACGTAATGCATTTACAGTCCTTAACACCAAGCAATCCAAACTGGGCCCTGGTGTTGGGATATGGCCTATTCTCCTCATTCAATTTTACCCACAGCTAAGGTATGCGCCCCAGCGGTGGGGACATTAATATTTATTTATTTATTAAATGAGTACACAATACAGTTCACAACCAAATTGAGTTTAAGTAACAGTAATTCAATTTTTTTATAAACTAGATTGTAAACCAAATCTTTGTGACCTTATCATGACAATTATAAAGGTTGCATAATACTAAATTATATTTTACATGCATAAAATAAAGAATAGAATTAGATTATATTAAATGAATTACAATAAATTTACAAATTAATCCTAAAATTATATATTATCAGTGACTACGATATCCATATTAATAAAATAACCAATTATTACAAATTCACTCAATAGGGATAAAAAAATAACTTCCTCTTGTTCCTCACTCCTTTATATTAATTATATTTTAAGTGTTATTAAGGCATCTAGTTACTAAAATATACCGCGCCAAAATAATAACAGGTCGTCCACTTAAAAAAATAACCTTGCAACTAGAGAGAACCAAGCTACCGTAAAATTAGTCACAGACATTCATTATCAAGCGTTATCTATGAAAGAGCAGTCGTTTTTCATACAGAAACGGACATGAACATTAATTAATAGGTAATTTACCTCATTTTTACGACTCCATACTAGAAAATTAAAGACGGAAATCATAAAGTATCACTCGTGTTTCTGTCCGTCTGTCACAGTAAATTTTTCCCTACTTTGTGAACTGATTCAATTAAAATATGGCACACATACATATGTAAAACAGTGAACGATTCTGTAACTATTACGCACCCGAATTCGAATTCACTCCAAAATCATCAGCATCCCCTCTACCATGGCTTAGTAATAACGCTTCGTGGCGTAAGTGAAATGAGTTTCATAATGAATGACATAGAAATAGAATATCTGAGACACTTATGATCAATCTTGTTTTGTTTTTTATACAAAAATGGAATCAATAGAATTTCTACACTAAATGACATTAATTAGAACACTTGAGTGAATTCAGATTCGGGTATTAGATTTTAACAGTACCGCTCTGAAGATGGATGAATATGAAACATGGCGGTCTCTTTAGGGAGGTAAATTAGGAAATAAAATATAAAAGTTTTACAAACATAAGTGTCATGTGACATTTTAAATATCTAGTCTGTG